CGATTCTTACAACGACCCAAATGAAAACAACTCTATAAAACTACAAATTTCTCTGAAATGATTATTAGACGACTGGCATACTGAACATCATACATCATCAAATTACACATAACAACACCACAGTCAGATCATTGCGCGATACTGAATATTCCTTTTTGTACAATAATAGTTTCACAATTTTTTTTGAGAATTACTCCCAACTTCCACTACTCCTGGATGCGAACTTTCAACCGAGAAGCTCAATTTTATCAGAGTCAAACCAACAATAATAAACTCATTTTCCGAAACGTTTCAGAATTATCTCCTACCTAATTTCGTATATTTTCCAGACGGATCACTGTTTTCAAAGGAAGCTTCACTACACATATACACTGAAGAACATGCCAAAAAGTCGAGTAATAAATATTCTAATCTAACGATAACTAAAAAACATTGAGAATGCTTTATGACACAACTGGTGATCTACCTGCACAACGACCACCTCAACGGAAAAATCGCCTTTTCTTTCTCTACTCGGCAGCTTTCTGCTGAAAATTTTCACCCTCCCAACATCCCGTTTCTTCAAAGTATACTACAAGACTTCAACAAGTGCTACAGTTACAAAACTGGCTAACACATGCACGCAAAACTTTTAAAGATAAGCTGATTTATAAAAAAAAGAAACTATAAACCTCTTAAAAAAGCAAAAAACATCTAAAAAGCTAAACAACTTTGAAATACGTACCGCATTGCCATGGAATAATTTCAGACTTTCAACAAAAAATCCAACATAAAAACTTTCAACAAATTCTTACGTTAATTCTATAAAGAACACAATTCGGACCAAACGATAGAAGGATTCAACTACAAGTTTCTTCTGTAAAACGCATTAAACGATTAGTATATAAGTAGATATCAGTGATATGGATCCGAAAAAATGATTCGCGACTCTCATAAAATGAAAACGGTTCGCTGATGCGAATATTTACATCTTCACATTCTCGCGAACGTATGAAAATATGACGATTCCCCCGCACATCAACTACGCATCTTATCTTATCATACATCAACAACGCATAACATTTGAAGCATCTCCAAATGAAATATGGAACCGTAACATATAAAGGCTCTTTTTCTAAATAACATTTCCTTCAAGACGTCCAATAACATTCATCAAAAGCAACTCCGGACTACTAATCAATGAGAACTTGAAAAACTCAAATTACATAGTCATAAGATCGAAGAATTACTCCTAATAAAGAGAAACAGAACGGCAAAAACATCACTACAAACCACAGACTGATCAATGGTTCAGTAAATGAAACAAATTACATTGGCTGATTATATAAAAATTCAAAAAGTGTGAAGATTGCCTTGGAAAACACTTGTTAGAGCCATCTGCTCAAGTCACCAAATCTCAGTTGACACCTCAAATTGACAATTCAAATTTGACATCAACTGAAGCGGCACGTGCCAACTCGACAATCGAGGATAACTTGACGACCAATCGTGCAGCCTCGTCCAAATTATCACAAGCCAATATTCGCATTTCGGATTGTGCGATTAGTGCCTTCGCATCGTCAACTTTTGTTCCTTTAATAAACCTCAATGAGAAAAGAGAAAACAAAATGACTTTTCACCTCAAATAACGAAAGATACAAACTGTTGAAGAGTACAATCAAGAAAATAAACGACAAGTCTACAGTGATCATAAAAATCCCTCCAAATTACCCAAATAACCTCACTATAACAACTTTTAATCAAGTAGGTTGATGTAACTTCCGAATATGAAATTTTTAACCTGAACAACTGCTTAACACAGTATCAAAAACACAGTAGAAAATACCCTAACAGTATCAAAAAAAAAAAGAACAAACAACGAAACAGATACATCGAACTGAGCAATAGAATAATGCATTACCTTGTAGACGAACAACAATAGGAATTCGAAGGTGCAGTTCACGTGCTGCATTAATGATACCTTGCGCGATTACATCACAACGCATGATGCCACCGAAGATGTTCACCAAAATGGCATGCACCTGAACAATAAATAACCAAAAAATGTAATCCATTTTGCACGCTATTCAATTCAAATTCAATTGAACAATTCAAAAAAATGAAGTGCTCAATTACACTGCCATAAAATGAAATGAACAATTTAAGAAAAAAACGAAAGAAAACAGAGCAAACAATAGTGGAATAGAAATCAACCTTATGTTTGTCGTCTGTGATGATTCTGAAAGCTTCGGTGACTTGTTGCACCGTGGCACCTCCACCCACGTCAAGAAAGTTTGCTGGCTCGCCGCCGTGTAATTTGATGATATCCATTGTGGCCATTGCCAGACCAGCACCGTTCACTGAACAATACGATGATTAGATCGCCTGGCATCAGAGAACTCAGAACAAAATCTAACTGATATTGAAAAATATCTCATTTTCTCAATTGATGATATATTCTGTTTTTTTTCGGCGGTCAAAACCAGTCAAATACACCTCAGCATTTTCGCCCAGAAGTTTATTCATTCTGACGGTGACGCTCGCTATCTCATCGTTTCAAAAAAATAATAAATTATGAATCATCTTATCTTTAACAATGAACAATCATCCTTATATTCTCCAGTCAAACAACCGTATTGAGAACAATCGCTTAAAGAATCATGTTACTCAAAGTTGATCATCAATCAGATACATACCAAGACATCCGATGTCGCCTTCCAATCGAATGTAGTTCAGATTCGCGGCAGCTGCACGCATCTCCAGTTCATCTTCTTGACTTTTGTCTTCCAAACCGAACAGCTCTTGTTGACGGTACGCAGCATTCGTGTCAACCAACAGTTTGCAATCCATACAATATACTATGAAAGAAGACAATTAGAGCAGCACTGAGTAATAATTACATCAGATTGTGACGAGACTATCCACTGAAGGCAACACGTCTCATTTCTCGTAAATTAATGAATATTTCATTGAAAGTCATCACAGAAGGACACTCGAGTGCAAACAACGATTCAACTATCCAAAAAGTATAAAACAATCCAAATTGATTCATTCAATCATCATTTCAAAAAATTGCCCATCAATAAATTTACAAAGTGACAATATAGCATCAAACATCCCAGAACCTAATCAATAGCACGAAGTAAAGAAATTACCATCTCCGCTAACGTCCTCTGCCATTGGATTGATTTCCAAGAGGGTGGCATCACTTTTCACAAACAGTTCATACAATTTTCTGAATATGTCAATTGCTTGCGCTTTGCAGTCACCCTGAAACCAATCAAACATATAACCTATGCAACACTGCAAAGATCTAACGTTGAAACAAGACAACAACAAATTCGATATATCTCACCAATCTGTACGTGTTTTAGAGCAATAAAATTCACGAAAAAAATAAACTGAATACTTCTAAACCAGGGATCCCCATGGGGGGGGGGAGGAGTTACTCATTTTTAGGTACTTTGAGGTTATATGTGGGTAATGGAACGGGTCGGGAAATTAGTTTTGATGTTATGCATGGAAATAGTAAATTATCCTTGCGAGAAGAGGGTAATGACGGACTGCCAGACCACCGAAGGAGGTAAAGGAGTACCCGGGAGTGGGGACCACTGTTCTAAACTATCATCAGCTTGATTCTGGACCCTAATGATTGCAAAACGCTCGACTTTTTTGGCCGTTCAATGAAACTCTTCACCTGGAATCCGAGTTTATCGGCAACTTCAATTGCGTTTTCCTCGGTCAAGCCTTGAGTGATACTGATCGGTAGGGTGACAATTGCGTTAGGATCAGTGGCGGCAACCTCTTCGATATTAACACCACCACGCGATGAAGCAACTATAACTGGACCCTGAAATCATTTCCTTGTGATACTTGAACATCAACACCATTGATAAATCACTTCACCGAATCATCAATAAAATTCCATCAATCTGAATGTTTCAGAAACAAAATTTCCACCACAGAAAACCCCAATTATTTTCGGCCACTCACATCTAGTAAATTTCGAACAACTCTAATTTTCGCTCGAATTCAATCAATTCGTTGACTGATTGGAAACCGGAACCCTTTGAATGATTACTTTTCGTCAATAATTTCATAATTCTTGGGCACCGAAACGTGAACATTCTATTTTTATTACGCATTATAAGTAACCACTTGCACATTTGGTCTAATGAAACTGCATGCATTATTACCAATCAAGCAGAAATGAACGAAATATGAAACTCACAGCAAATTTACGGTCGAGTGTAATCGAGAAGTAATATTCACGTCGGGTGAACAGTCGTTTACAGACCATTACTTTTTCACACAGGTTGCCACGAGTCGATGTTTGTTTCGTTATCAGATGCGAACCCAACATCAAACTCGCCTTCTCACGCGCTTCATCTGGCCTATAAAATTGCTCAGATAAATGCGTTCATTCCCATGATTAACTGATTGTTATCCGCGAACTGAAAATATAAGAGAAAAGAGAACATGTGTGACTTCATACAACAATCTGATTCACGTAATCAAGTACGGTTTCTTCGGAGTATAAATCGTGAAAAATTCATGACAGAGAACGAATTTCAACTGAGCCAAAAGCATTCTTCAAAATCAGTTTAATAGGAACACTCATACTGCCACTGATCCAAATTTGCTTGAGAAAAACTGAAATGATGATCGAGAGAGACTCACGTGAATACAACTTGAACTCCGCCTTGAAGACCTGTATCGAAATAGCCTTTGCCTCGGCCACCCGCAAGAATTTGCGCTTTCACCACATAATCCTTGCCACCTTAAACTTCAATTCTCAGCATGCTTTAAAAATCTTCGCGAACTGAGTTTTCTTTTCTTTTACTTTCACCTCGTGCACTTCCTTTTTTATTCTCGTGCCGTGGATAAATAACGAAACTTCGACGGAGAAAATGCACCCTCTCCAGCTTCTTCAAAAAGGTACCCCTACGGAGAGAAGAGAAAATTCCTTAGGGAACACATTTAAGATAAAATGAGCAACGATAAATAACGAAAAAAAAAAGAAACGAAAAATGTGTGATAAATTTATTGATATGTACTTTTTTATCGAAAAATGAAACACAGCACAAACGATCAACAATCAGAGTAGTAACAATTTTTTTGCATTACCTCCGCACATCAGCACGTGTTTTCAACTGTGCGTATGTATACAAAAATCACTCAGTGCACACAGCAAAATGACCAACCAGCAAAGAGTGTCGTTAAAATGTCTAATCTCTAATCTCTAACCGATCTTTTTAGCTGCCTCAAAAACTTCGTCAGTATCCGACGCTACACCAAACGGCGGTACACGAATTTGTTGCTTCTCCAGTAAGCTCATTCCGTGATGTTCGTGAAGCATCAAAGTCCGCACAGATGGTGCAGTCATCTAAAACAACAAAAAAAANAAAAAAAATAAACACCCAAACGAACAAACCAGTAAACAGATAAATATCTTTTTTCAAATGATCGATTACTCTGCAAAAACCTTATGTTGAGACCATAGAAATGAACATCAGTAAAAAGGAACCAAAAATTAAAACAACGAAACTGCGATTGACTGTTTAACAGTTGAGCAAATTCGACAGAAATTTATTCGTAACTATGTAAATCCAAAAGCACCAAAAACAATGCAGGAAATCCTTTGAGAAATAAACTTTATAATTGTAGGGCACATTGAACAATGAAAAATACCTTATCGAAAGTTTTAAGAAATGGTTGTCTAAAACGTTGTAACATCATTTCGTTGGCGAATGTTAGTATTGTCAATAAAATTCAATCACTTCAAACTGAATTCGTTTCTGAAAAAGAAATAATAATGGTAACACGTGTTCATACAATATAAATTTCTTGCCGACGATGCGTTTGAGAAATAATTTCATAACATTTAATCCTCATTTCTGCTACGGATCGACCGATATCCTTCAACTCTTGATAAGCACTGCCCTCATATGAATTCATTCATCACGTGGTGTCGACTAGAACAATGAGAGATAAACTTAACAGATGAACCAGGCGAAAAAGTGATAGCGTGACCAATGATTTACTACTCAAATAGTGAGGAAATATGACATCATATTGAATTAATCATATCACTACTTACTATTAGACGATTCGATGACAGCGTACAAAAGATAGGATAAAAAGGTGAAAATCTGGAGTGATTGAGAGATATTAAGGGAACAAATACAGATCTATAGACGGTGTTCCCGATGAGGGAAACTCACCCTGGAGGAATCTAACAGTGTTAAGAGAGTATCGAGGCTAACATATCATAACCGACTGATGATTTTTCTTGACATTCCCTCCGTAACTGCTCAATAATTGCCTCTATAATGCATTATAAGACACTAATGCCGTTGATGACCGAGATTCAATTGATCACAAGACATTAATTCTATTGACGACACTAAAGAACTCATGACTGAAACAACTTCCCCATTTTCTTCTAATTTATCGCCAAGATGAGACAGATTTTTCGAAAGCGACGAATTGCAGCCACGTCATATTACAAATCATACAAGAACAGTCACTGTGAAGAGAGAAGGGAATTCCAAAAAAAAACGAAACAATTAAAACGATAGTATAACACAAGAGGAAAAAAGCCGGATCTCTGACAGCAATTACTCATTTCCTATGCCTCACCACTCTAAAACTTCGCTTTAATCGTTCATTTGCAATCGATTTCTCAAAATTGTTCGTTCAATTGTGAACAAAATGAAATGCAAAATGAAATCAGCTAATAGTAAACAACATTTTGAAGTGCAACAAATTGCAAGTGACGAAATCACTCTTCTAATGCCTCATCAGTGTAAAATTCCGATGAGACCAGTCGCTGTATCGGAATAAACCTTTCGAACAACACTTCAACACTACAATATCGAGCGATCAACAACATGCTGCGCCCATAATCAGCGTGGCAGTAGCAACAACACGAATAAAATGTGTAGCAGTCGAGTGCGTGGACGAGTTGCTAACCACAATGAGGTTGCAAAGCGGATTGAATGGATGAATAGATGACTGGGCGTTACATAAGTTGTGCTAAACCCATCACACTCAATGACTAGTCAATACCGCCAAACTGGCATTGAACGAGTAGAAATGACGATACCGTTCGCAAATTATCTCATCGTCAGTTAGACACACTCGGTAATGCCTTCAATTTTGAAACAACGATATGTTCCCATTGAAAAAACCTCGCGAGCTTCACATCAGCTTGAACATTAACTTGAGAAACTCAGATTAAATATTCTCAAATCAAAAGAAAGTTCTTAAACAAACGTTCAAAAAAGTGCTCCAAACTCGATGCTTCAAGATATCATCTGTACATCTAATCCATTCTTACGTCGAACTGTCTGGATCGCACGATCTTATCCGTTCGAGATGTTCAATCGAAAGTGTGATTGAACGTGAGATTTTATGACTCTGTGTGTGCAATACATGATGTAAAGTTAAAGAAATGTCAAGAGACCAATTATTGATTTTAAAATCTGTTCATTTTAAAATTCATTGGAGTATCATGTTGAAGCATCATCATCTGGTGAAGAATTATTTTTAAACGAATCGCTGATAAATTAGTGCAGTTGAAGGGCGAAAAGTATTGGTGATGGAATGGCGAGGACGTGGAATGAATCAATAGCTTTATGCATTGTGCAAAGGGAATAAATGTTCGAAGGATGTCAGCGTATTTCTTGCATATCAATTTTGCATTCAATTCAGTTTGTACATCTGTGAGTGACTCCATTCATTCGTTGCATCTGTTTAGAGGGCGAAAAAACAGCTATGTACATTCACAAATAACGACGTTTTCACTGGAAACGTCGTTATTGCTGTTTGAGAGATGACAAATGTAAATTATTCAATATTTAAGCATTAACGAATCGAAATTTTGCCATTCAGACAAGGCATCCATCTGAACGTGCTCTCAGCTAGTGTGGTGCAGGNATTGGGGAATTTCGGGGACCCGTTCTCGATTTTGCTCTCGTTGATCACCTTTTCGGGGTACCCGACTGGAGAATTTCATCTCCGACTTTATCCCTTCCCCCCGACATTTTTCCGTCCCTGCATTAGTACAGTACTGATAGTCGGGGAATTTTAGGGACCCCGTCCCTGATAATTTTTAAGCGGACCGCGTTTTCAAGGTCCCAGAATGCGTAATTTCGTCCCCGATTTTCTCTGTCCCTACGTTTTTCCGTCCCACATCACATTGCTATCAACTATAGGATGCTGATTTTTGACGGTAAACCATTGCAATAAATAAAGAAGGGGTAACAGCAGCATAGTAGCAGATTGCACACCTCAGTTGTTCATCGTTCAAACATGCAGCATAAATCCTCGTTGTACGTCAAGCCGAGGTTAAGATTTCATCCAATCGCCTGCAGATGTTTTGTAATATCGAAGAGGAGCGGAGGTAATTGATTGTGAACACATCTGAGAGGCATAATGGATAGCAGTCTGCATAAACCAGTTGGTATTTTGCAGAGCAATAGTGCTAGCTGATCAAATCACTTCAGCAATCATCAAATTGAAACATCTTTTGGTGTTTATTTCCAATAACACTGAATCATTTTATCGAAACACACGATTAATATCATACAAGCACAAAGGGAGAAGTAGATGCATGCTCCAAGCAGTACATACGAAAGTTCCATTTCATCATACGAATCAATACGGCATTAAAGATGATCATCCAAGCACAAAGGGATAAGATGATCATCCAACAGTTCATATAAATATTCCATTTCATCATGCATATGTTATAACCATCCTTGTACATGTATCCTATCTTATACGTACAGTTAAGGTACTAAATGATAGCTATCACTAAATGACATATGATGTACTAAATGATACATGTATCCTATCTTATACGTAAGGGTAAATGATATAAATATCAGTTAAGGTATTTATCACCTTTGTCCATAGATCACTTTGGTCTTCGTGACGAATCGTATCGTTCGGGCTCGGCCGCGACAACATTAGTGATTCAATTACGGATCAAAGCCATATGACATGGTTTTTTATTTGTTATTTTTGCATTTCTGGCAGCATTTCAGTGCATTCACTTATTTTATAACTCACTAAATGCAAACATTATCATTAGATGCACTTTTATTCGAGTTTCAATTCGGACTTTACTATCACAAGGGCTTATCACAGTTCAGAAGTTACCCATTTTTAACTCTAAGTTTTTGTAGACACGTTGAATAAGATCATTGGAATGAATCTGTGCGAGCGTTATCTATCAACAACACACGCTATGACCAAACAAAATCTGCTGCATCCGACATTTGTACGAAACACGAAATTGATGAACAAGCTGAAGCATGCAGACCGTTCCAGAATGATATTATCGATGTCCGCATAATGGTCCATTACTGATCAGCTGTATCAGCTGTCCGCATTTCGAGTCAATCCATCAGTGAGAATCTTATTTGTCGAAGCTATCGAAGCTTCATGATCAGTGGATCATGAAGCTTCGATAGCTCACCGAGATCTGGTGTGTTCAACAGCTTATCCGAGCGATCATTGCACGCATATTCTCGCAATCAGTCGAAGTTTATTTTTAGGCCTAGTTCCATCTCTCTCACTAGAAATCATGTGGCAGTATGTGAAATTAGCGTTACACTTCGATAATCGCCAACTCGATGGTCGACATTAGAATTTCATTAAGTCGGATGATTCCCAGTGCCTATCATCGTTAGCTGTTTGGAAAGAAGGATGTCGGCTGACAAAGATTGTGGTATTTTGATGTTGGTGATAACATAGGGGCATGAAGTCGTAGTGAGTTGATGTATTTGTTGATTTAATAAAGATTCTGATCAATATAAAGATCAAATGTGTAGAGTTTGGTGTCACAATGAAATCGTTCAGTTGAAGAGCATTCTTTCAGGAATTCAGCAATATCTCCGGAACTGAGCAGCATTATCCGTTGATAACACAAATGTTTTTCTGATACAAGCGAATCTGCGGGGAAATTATGAACCTGTTCAGCAAGTCTAAAAGCGTAAAGGTTAATCGGAAACATTGCTCGTAATATTTCAATAGTAGTGCACTATTGATTAATAAAGATTGAATGCACACTCTATCGATTTAATGAAATCGCTAAGCCATATGACATGCATCGGTAAATTTTGCTGCATTCATAGAACTAAAAATAACCGTTATCCTCCGACAGGATTTTCATCTGCTTTTCTGAATCGTTCAAATCTGCTGCTATTTAGCCAGGAAATTTGGCCTCTTGAGCTGTCACTTCAGAAGAAGCAGATCATGTTTCCTTGAACAACTGAGCGTGAACACGCATGAGATTCTGGTAATTTGGTGATATTAAAGATGAACAGCACACTTCACATCACTTGTGATTCACATATCTTTCAGTGAAATTCTCTC